TATGAGCTTTCGAAATTTCAGCAGACGCTAGTTGGTATGCATTCTCTAAAGACTCTTTTAAATTAGACACATACTTACCATAACTATTACTTGATTCCTGATTGTACAAACCAAGCATGACATCAAGTGCGAGATGAGGCTTCCTACCGAATAACAGAAAAAATGGAGAATAACCAGTGCTTTCATGTTTTGTACAGTTATAGGCATGAACTACGGACGGCAGATGGCTTTTCCAATCATGTTTCTTATTTGGATCGAGAGTACCTAGCATATCAAGAAGAGTTCTGTTAAATCGTTCACAAGTTCCATTGCAACTTGGATGGTACGGTGTTGTTCGTGACTTTCTCATTCCTGATAACTGACAAAGTTCTTGGATGATCTTATTTTCAAAACTGCCGCCTTTATCACTATGGATCCTTCGAGGGAAACCATAATGGACAATGAATTGCTCATATAAAGCTTTTGCTGTTGTGTCGGCTGTCATGTTTCGTGTAGCAATAGCTTGTGCATAGCGGGTAAAATGGTCAGTTATCACAAGGATGTAACTATAACCCCCCGTAGAGTCTTCTAGGCTGAGGTAGTCTATACTTACCAATTCCATCGGTTGAGTGGTCTGAATGTTTACAAGTGGAACTCTTGAATTAGTTGATGTTTTCCTCACTAAACATCTCTGACAGCTCTTGATATATTCATCAACATCTGTTGACATTCTTGGCCAATATACACGTTCCTTTAATAAGGACAATGTCCTTTCTCTACCAAGGTGACCTACGGCATCATGGCATCCTTCTAAAGCGTCGTCTGCTACATTATCACGTATTACATATAATTCATTTACCATCTTCCAAAAATCTTAAATGATAAACCATCGTCATATTTGATAAATACCAGAAATACATTTTCAACTGTAAATTGTCATTTATAACTTGGAAAATGTATTTAAAAAATGACGTAGCAATGCTGAATATTAAATAGGGTCGCGACTCTACTAATTTGCATAAAAGATAATTCATTTGAGATAAAACAGAAGACATAATACACAAAACAAGTTGCACTTATCAGTTTACTACAAACATTTTCCAATTTACAAATGACACTTTACAGTTGAAAATAAACTTCTGGTATTTATCAAATCTGACGGTGGTATATTATTTAAGATTTTTGAAAGATGCTAAAGGAATTATGTGAATGGAGTTTAGTTAAGTTACATGTGAATATAAACAATTGATTTTAGAATTTCCATCATTATGATGTTTGAATTATAAGTAATAGGTATTAAGATAATTTATATTTGTCTTTATGTATTAGACAAATCGGTAGAGTATGAATTAATGGCGCAAATTGACCTCCATATCTTCACAGCTATCAGTCATCTTCACACCTGAATTTAATTCGCAAAAATTAATTAAATTGACAATTAAAAAACAAAACTTCTATGTCACATTCAAAAGAGGATAAAGAGTACATTATGATTATGAAAACCACATCGACACTGCGACAACTATGCATTTTCGGAAAAAATAATAATTTATGAAATCGGTATCGTCTAAAAGAGAATCACAAGGACATTAATAACTCTACGGCCTATGTAAAGTCGCAAATGTATCACTTTTTGGATGGCTATTTAAGCGGAAGTTAATGTTTGACAACCGTTTAAAGCTTACATCAAAGACATTATATACTGTAGATTTTAAAGTCTTTAAAGGTCAAAGTCACGAAATAAACACTTTCAAATATTCCAAAAATTCAACTGGAAATTTGAATAAATCAAATTCGAAATTCAAATTATGTTTCAAATTAGTTGAAGAGAGAGGCTTTGATTGTATTTTACGCTAGCTTATACAACCGATCAGAGCCATCGACAGAAAAACTATAAACAATTTGGCTGTATCAAACCGCTGTATTTCCAAACGTTAGTGATGCAAGAAAGTTGGCTATTGCAGTCAAGGTAATAGCTTGAGTTGTGAAGATGATAAGGTAAATGAACCACCTGTATCCACCTTACATATGTATCTGTATTCAATGGCCTTTTTTGAAAAAAGATACATGCAAATTAATTTTATAAAACCTCTGTTAAAATGATGTTGACAAAAACTGATATATGTGTACAAAAAGAGAAAGAATGGAAAATCGAGTTATTTTGAAATTGGCGCAGAACTCCAACTAACATTTATCCCCAAAATATCCCAAACCATTATCATTCATTCAGAAGAACCAAACAAACGGTAGAAGCTGTCGCGGTCAATGTCAGAGAACAGATGAAAAACATGAAATCCAACGCCACAGACACATCCGTCCAGTCGACTGAATATTTGATTTTAGTAGGCGTATCTTGTTTGTCCGGTCTATTAATTTCATCAGATGCTACGGTCGTGGCTGTGCCTACATCTGAATACTTTTTTCCTCCAAAGAGTTTAACGAAGACGACAAATGGTGTTGGAACAGGTACTGATTTATCTTTATGGTAGACTCTGAGAACAATAGTGCTTAGAATGACTGACGAGGCGCTCATTGCCACCAACACTATTAGATATATTACCAGAAGTGGCGACTGGGTGGACGTGTGAGGCATGTTGTCTGTAATGATGGTCAAGAACACGACGTAAGCAAGTAAAACGGTGGTGGATAGAGACATCTTCTCTCCTGAAGCGGCTGGTAAAATAAATACCAAAGATCCAAGGCAGGATAAAATAATAATCGGTATGATCATATTTAACAGATAAAATGGATATCGTCTTTTTAATGTCAAATTAACAGTGAAAATTTGTCTTATAGTTGTCAGATTTTCAAAATATACAGATGTTTCTATCAATTCCCATTGACCATTTGGAGTATATTCGTCCAATATGATAGTATCGTTGATAATATTAAAAAAAATTAGCTCTAAGGGCGAAGAAGCAAATTGTATTGAACATTGTTGTTTGTCTAGTGGATAGTATCGAATGTTCACATCACATGCACTTTTTATTAGCATAGCGGGATACCAAATGACGAATCCGTCATTGGATATCATTAATCGAAACATGTCATAACCTAACTGAACCGGTTCTTTGACGGAATTCATAACGCTTATATCGGGTATCCAAATTCTAGATTGGGGGATATTGATGTGTTCAATACCTGCGTGTTCATATATGTTCCATGTTAATCGAGTATCCAGCCACGCAAAAGCCGGATAGCCATACGTTATCAATGTCTGCTCCTTCTCTTCAAGATCAATTATAGATATTAGATGGAAACTTATAAATAATACCACACCATCTTTAACGGACACTGGTAGGATGTCGGTGTTGAATTCAAAAAATATACTGTTGTACAAGTGTTTATAATCTTGTACGGTAGCTGCACGGACATACGGCGTTTGTAAAATGAGCAATACGCAAATAACCAAATACATATTTCAGGTTTTTACCTTGGTCCTGACCTGGGCGCCTCAACACCAAAAGATGTTCGCTAACTCTTTCTAAATAGTGGTAAGGATCGAAGCTAATGTCAAATAGTAATGTTTTCTCAACGCGTAAAAGATAAGCTCAGTTTGAGATAGCTAAGAAATAGAACGACTAACTCTGTAACTCTCGGGATTGAAGCGTCAAATTTTACTGGGTATCCTTAACTTTAATTCACTGATTAGATACAGCTCACTCAGTTTCTTTTTACTTGAATTTCAACAAAATGAAACGCTCCGACCTCGTGCAATTACTTCTTGATAGCTTATAAAACAAGGTAAACTTTTCTTACGAGTTCAGATCAGAGAAACAATTTCAAATAGATTTTCACATTTAAATGGATCACCCAGCACGTTTAAAGTATAAAACCTTAACTGTTAAAATTGGGCTTTCAATCCTTTTTAAGTAGTAACAGCAAATCCCTCGGGTATAAAACACCATCTACGTTAGTTTCGTGTCAGATGATAAAAGATACAATCATGCAGGTGAATAATTGATGTATTCGACGTAGTTTAAGTGGCCACCATCTTCACAATGCCAAGCTATTACGAATACACTAGGCACCTTTCTTGTATCATGGCAATTTTTAAATGCAAAGACTGTCTTTCTGTCGAGGAATATGATTGGCTCTATTATTTAGGGTACAATGCAATCAAATCTCTGCATTTAAAAACTCTACATAAACAATACAAGAAAAGTGTCTATTTATGTCAAGGTATTAGATGGAGTTTGCAATGGCTTGATATTGTGAAGATGGGTGGAAAATGGCATATTGGTTCTGGTATTCTCTTTTTGTTTATTTCTGAACGAAGCAATATGGTAATGTGGTCATTACACCTTATTAATCACTTCAGTGTTTATCATCAGAGGTCCTATATAATTGATGCTTTTATGCGAAATGACTACTGATCACAAATGATCAGAAAGGAAACAATATAAGCATTTTTGTCATTCATAGGCTGACTAGTGGCCAATATACGTTGTGACTGAATTAATGTGACCAACTCATCTCGTGATCAATCCTCCTCGTGACCAAACTACCGTGACCTATTTAGGCCTAACAGTGTTATAACCAAAGGGGGTACAGCCCTGAGAGCAAGTTTTCGGGCAAAAATCTCATAGTTAGGTTAGAAATTCGGGCAATCTCGCCCCCACCCCCTCCCCCCTCGGACGTAAACCTGGCTCCGCCACTGAGGCCTATGTTTGGTCCTTCAGATACTTGTGAGTATCGTCTTTCGACCCTTACTGAAGTGTCTATATCTAAAATAGTTAATAAAAAGTAATGAATGGAAGTCTAATATTAAATAGTCCGCATAAAAAGCAAAACATCAGTTTATGGTTATCTCTGGTGGGTTTGTGTATCTAGACAAACCTTATGAAAAGTTTTGGAACAATGGAGCAACGTTGATCAAGATTTGATATTACCGATAATGGATCATTTTAATAATGAAAAAGCAAAAATTTCACCCACTAAAGTAAGTATATTTATTTGTAATATTGTGGGTTATAATTTTTTCATGTATATGTTTCGCATGATCTCACCATAATGCGCATCTGATAACAATACTTATTGACTTTTCTATTATAAAAAAAAACTAATCAAGAAAATAATAAAAACAGTGTTTGATCCTGCTGGCAATATAATAAATTATACAGTAAAAAAAATCATACAGTACTAATGGTGTCCTCAAACCATAGTGTATGCTGAAGCCTAAGGGGCGCTCACACGATAACGTATGCTAAAGTTTAAGCAGTGTATGCCAAAGCCGAAATCTGAAATCAACAATTTTTGCAACCTATTCGACCCGTAATTTGCGTGTGGTTCCAAAACTTACAACTTGCGTTGCGTTAGTCCTGGTCGATGTATTTTCGGACACTCGATAAAAACCTTTTAAGAATTTTCTTCAGTAATTATTTGCGTTTGAGTTGCGTGCTGATTGCCGAATTAACGAGTATCGTACTTGTTCGGATCGTCTTTCGTTAAGCATCGTTTTCCCAGAACATGTTCAAATTTTCTGAACCTATTCTGTGGATTTCTGCGGTCAACCGTGTGCTTGTTGCGTACTTCAAATCTATAAAACCTATTAATTGCACGTGGATGCTACTTTACAATTCCTTTTTTTATACGAAACCAAACGCAAATAGTGATCGCTATGGTGTGAGGGCACCTTAACCGCTGAACCTGAAAACCTTTTATCACGATATTGCGCGAGAGTACCCTAATCGTTGAACCTCAAAGCCTTTTGTCACGATATGGTGTGAGGGCACCTTAACCATTGAACCTCAAATCCTTTTGACATGATATGGTGTGGGAGCACATTAACCGTTGAACCTCTAAGCCTTTTATCACGTTATGGTGTGAGGGCAGCTTAACCGTTGAACCTCCAAGAATTTGTTACGTTTTGGTGTGAGGCACCTTAACCGGTGAACTTAAAATCCTTTTGTTACACTATGGTGTGAGGGCAGCTTAACCGTTGAACCTCGAAGCCTATTGTTACGTTTTGGTGTGAGGGCATCTTAACCGTTAAGCCTCAAAGCCTTTTGTTACGTTTTGATGTGAGGGCATCTTAACCGTTGAACCTCACAGCCTTTTGTTACGCTATGGTGTGAGGGCACTTTATCCCTAAGTTACGGTATGGCGAGAGGGCACCTTAACCATCACATCTCAAAGCTTTTTGTTACGCTATGGTTTGAGGGCTCCTGACCGTTGAGCCTCAAAGCCTTTTGTTACGTTTTGGTGTGAGGGCAACTTAACCGTTGAACCTCACAGCCTTTCGTTACGATACAGCCCGAGGACACCTATTCACAACAAGGTTCTCGCATCTGAAAACCCAGTTAGATTAGAGGCGGAATTGGCTGATATGTGGTTAAGCACAAAACGCTCTTCTAATGCATGTATTTCTCCAAAATAATCCATTAAGTGTAGCAAAATACATCGATTTGTACATAAATGTACATATCATTATATTGCGGATATGACGTCGTATTTTCGGAAATGTCAAGTAACTATTGAATATACATGTAAATTGAATCTTCAAACATATAAATATTTAACACGGGTTAGACAAATATAAATGTTTTACGACCTACTTAGTCCGGTTTCGGCCACTTATAGCTGGCCGCTTTTGCAAAATAAATCGGATCAATGATATAAACTTACGTCGTTTTATTAAACTATTAGACAGCGACATCATTTTATTAATATTGTCCACATTTTTACGGGAATTTCGCTTTTGTAGCCTTATGGACAGGTTACTAATCGACCTGCCCTGCCCTGTACCCAGAACATCTCGTACAGAAGACACAACGAACAGATAGGGGCGGGGTGATTTTAACATCAAATGGTAATAACCCCAGACCTGCACTGTACTCGTACCCGAGGGCAACCACAGCCGATAAACATCTAAGATAATTAAAACGTCTAAGGGTACTAACCCAACCTGCACCGTACTGGAACCTTAATCATACCTTCAATATGCAGAAGATATTTTCAAACCATCCCCACAAAAAATCCATTTCAAACAATACCTTGAAATAATAAGTTATGATTAATTTTTCAATCTAAACAAGCCTGTTTCCGACTATCTAAATATTCCATCGTCGTTTTGCATCACCCAATTGTTTTGTATATCAGTTTTCCAAATTGAGTATTCTACTCAAAATAGATGGAACACGGACAACGCCCTCTAGTGCTCAGTGAACAATCTTGGATCTTTAAGGTACAGAGTCTATGCTGATTTTAATGTAAAAAGCCTGTAGCAAACAGGACATCCGAGCAACTTGTGTTCTTGTGGACCTGTATCGCCAACAAAGAAAGGCTAGATTAACCATTCAGTGTGAAATTAATGATACATGTTCGAGAATGATTGACAAGTCCTGTGACAGGAAAGGGAGTAATTATTAATTGAAGGATCGTGTATATTATTCTTGTACTGTTATTAATTAATCTACTTTGTATTGATATACAACATTCGGTTATTGACAAATCCGAAATTATTTTTATATCCCGGAAAGAAAATTTGAAATCCATTTGAACACCTGCTACCTACTGAGATCCTTCCTTTTTCTTAAGTGAAAGTATTGAAATATATAAGTAATCGTTTAGAAAATTTCAATCGTTCTTGGGTCGTATCGGACAGGGGCTGAATCCATTTCACGATCAACGAAGCGATGTATCGTGTCATTCTTTACATATTTGATGACATTCTGTCGTATTTGAAATTGAAGCGATTACATTTATTAAGTTTGGCCAATACGTGAATTCGGTAAGAATCCTCCTCAAAGTGACATATGCACCATCCATTTGACTAATCATACCTTAGTCTCAGAAACAGGATTTTAGCTAGGCTAATCAGTAAAAGTCGAAGTCAGAGCTTTCAAGTCCATGTCTGTGTCCGCGTTTGAAAGTTAAAATGACGACTCTATATACAGGAAAGACATATAGTAAAAGAAAATAAACTTTAGCTGGAAGTATTTGAATATTTGAAGGGATTATACGATTATTGTGCAGTTCTAGTAGTTCTGGAGACTATTTACATAATTATGTTTGTAATGTTTGCAAAGCAACCCCCGAAAATAGCGAAACATGACCTTAAATTTAATGGTTTGGTATCTTGACCTTTCTCTAATTTAACAAAAATAATTAACATTGTATGCACTGATCCAGTCTACATCGTCCATTAAACCAATTTTTCTTAATAATAAAAAAGGGTTACTTTTTATCTAAATATCTTCATGTGAGGCGGTAAATTTTAAGCAATCAACATTTCTCATACAAAAGATGTTGCCTGTACAGATAAAAATTTCGACTTTGTGATTGTAACAAACCGTAAAATTTTTTATCAAGAAGGGTTTTTGATTTGCCGATTTGAAAATTACT